GGGACACACAACTATCAAATAAAATCAAAACACGCCAGAGAGTTCACGTGACTGTTATTTCCTTTAATAATGCAAAGGTGTAAACCTCAGAAAGGCCTGGCTGATTATCTGCACAACAACGTTAGCATTCTTATTAGTAGACAAACGTGATCCAAACCAGCCGTATAGATTTTCCCAAAGTGAGCAGAGACCCTGTGGGCCTGGAGGCTGGGTGTGGGGATGCAGGGAGGGAGGGGGGCGCCGCTCCTGCAGGGCTCTCCGGGGCACTGTCTTAGGGATTCCTGGTGGGGCTGGGCCACAGCCACGACCGACCCAGAATTCAGTGTCCATTGGGACGGGTGCGTCCTCACGCTGTCTCCCAAAGGGCATCTCATTACAAACCGCGGCCTGTCTGAACGCGGCCACTGCAGTGACGCCAAAGCTGCTTCAGCGGAGGTCTGCCTGGCGGGGGCGTGGGGGGGTGTCTGAGGGGACAGGGCTGGGTCAGGCTCCCCTTCCTTTGGGCTAGCTCTCCAAAGAGTCCCTTCAGAAACACTGACACTGTCCCTCCCGTGTGGGTGGGACTGGGACCTGGGACCCTGAGGAGGATACTCCTGAATGACTTCTGCCCAAGGTGACATCGAGGGTGTGCCGGGGTCCGGAGGACAGTGACAGCTCACCTGCACCAGGACTGAGCTCACTCCACTGGCCCTCCCTGCAGCTCTTGCTAACTGACCTGGGGTTCCCACCCCAGGCCCAGAGGCACCACCTGCATCTCCTCAGTGCTCTGCCTTGTGCCTAAGAACCACACTGCTCCTGCTGCACTGGGGTGAGGCGGCCAGGAGCCCCAGAGGGAGAGGACTGAATTGTGGCTGGAGGCAGCGTGGGCAGGAGGCAGCTGGGGCAGGAGGCAGCGGGGACAGGAGGCAGCTGGGGCAGGAGGCACTATCCTGCCTGAGCTGTTAGTAGCATTTGGTCTCTGGTGTCTGCACTTGAGCCTCTAAACTGTGAGCACTAGGGATGGGCAGCTCTACCCCCAAAACCATGGGATCACTTAGATTCCCAAAGGGGAAATCACACAGAACTAAAAATTAAAGAGACCAAAAAGAACAAAAATCAGACTTCTGTGGAGATGCTCAGAGAGGAGACATGTGGAATGATATGTGACCACAATGGAGGGAGGGAGTTTTTATTCAGTAGAAGTTCCATCCCAAATGTGCACTGATGTCACTAAGCAGGACTCACCTTGAGTCCCTGTGTGGGACTTTCACATACACCCCTACTTCCTCTCCTGGCCACATGGGGGAGGCATACTCCCCAAGAGCAGGGAGGAGCAGCTGGCTTTCACCAGCTTTAAAAATGTCACTAGAGCCACTGACCAATAGGGGTTTGGTGCATTCGGGAAGTATGACAGATTGACTGACTGAGCCCCAATTTATCAACAGTCCAGGCTGGGCAGCCTGGGAGTGGCCTGTATCCTCCCTGCTGCCCTGTGCGCATGTACGGGCAGAGTGCAAGGTTCATGCCTGGCTCACAGTGGATGCTTCCAATCTGGGAGGCTGACTTATCGATAACGTGGCTCACTGTTGAACCACCACCCCCGAGACATGAGGCTCTGTGCTGACCTGCAGCTGAGCAGCAGGTGTCCGCCCTCCTGGGAGACACGTGTCTCACAAAGCTGATACGTGTTGGGCACATTAACAGGTGGCCTTGCTCACAGAGCCAGCATAGAACCAGGGAAACACTATAAGCAGGACAAGCACGATGGGGGCCAGACCTAGACCATGGGGAGATCAGAACATGTTGCTACCATATATGAGCATGGCAGAGAGGGTATGGGGCCCCTCTGACAGGCTGCAGGACCAAAGCGCTTCCCGGAATGTTTGATCAACCCCAGTAAATACTCAACAAATCCAATTCTTCTGCTGCACGGTCAACAGGGTGACTTAATTTGCCATCATGTCATCAAAATGCTCAGGTGAATCACAGTGGTCCGGCTGCCTTATATGGGCACTGAAATGCAAGCAAAGACAACTAGTATTGAGGGGCAGAGGAGGAGCATGGGGTTAGAATGGGGGCATGTGGGGTTTTTAACAAGCTGATGCAAGCTTTGGGGGTACTCAGAAGTCTTCCTCTGCTACATCATTTTCAGGTAAGGACAAAAAATGCAGCAAGTAGCAGATGCGCAGCAATGTCGCTGTAAACCTAGCATGATGCCTTTTAAATACTGCGTAAATCAAAGAGCTCCCGAGCGTATTGTACTGCCACTAAGAGGGGAGACCTCCTTATGAAGTGGCACAAAAATATACGGAAATGGTGAAACGTCTGGAGGTCCAGCTTTCTCCAGTTGCAAACCTTCCTCTTCCACAGAGTGCGTGGGGCCGTGGCCATTCTTCCAAAGGGGGCACTGGTCATTCTCATAGGAACTGGGCTTTTAAGCAAATTTAACTTTTTTGTGTGTTCTTAGGTTCCTAACAGAGCAAAAGAAGAGTCACTGCAGAGAAAAGCAAGGAGGCAAAGGTGTAGGACGCAGAGCAGCCTCCCAGGGTCGCTGCGTGCCCAGCCATGGGTCCCCAGAGAGAATGAGGTTGTTTAAAAACAAAGGTGGCAGTGGGGGTGTCCCAGTGACGTCCAAGGTGATATGTGTGACGACAGACACAGGAAGGGGAAGGGGAGGAGAAAAGAGAAGGTAGAGACAGAAACAGAGGAAAAAAAATAGATAAAAAGAAAAAAATTAGGTCAAATATAGAAAACACAAGAATCAAAGGTTAATTCAACTTTAGTAAATTAAATGTCGGAGGTTAGAGAAGAGTCCAGTGCGGTTCGTTACCACCAGGCCAGCTCCCAAGCTCAGCAGGGCCAGAAGCAGCACAGCAGGGTGAGCTCGGGGTTAGGGGTCAGCGAGCGCATGAAATTAAAGTGAGAGAACAGAAGCCTCCGGTAAGACACAGGTTTTGATTAGGAGGGTGTTACCTTTGTCTAAGGTGAGGTCTCTTAGCTACAGCCAATGAGCCTACCCATGGCCTTCCTGCCACTAGAGCTTTGCACACATAGTGGGAGAGATGCGTTTGATCACTGCAGTCTGGGTAGCAAACTGTGCAGAGGCCAGGGGGCTGCCTTTTCAACCACGAATTGAATTCTTCTTCCTATTGCACGATCCCACCACCCACAGTGCTGTTAAAGAAAGCCTAGCTCTGCGTCCCTTACCTGCTACCACCTGCTGACCACAGAATTCCATCTTCCACCCAGCGCAGAGCCACCTCCTCTGAGATGGTACGAGAGTGTGGTGAGCAGCCCCTCCCGCTCTCTCTGATTAATGGGGCTCCTGGATGATTAACGAGGACGCTGGCATCTCTAGCGGGCAGGACCCTGGAGGACAAGGTCTTCCCGGAACTTCTGGACCTGACACACCCGGGAAGCTGCTGCTATGGGGCGTGCCCAGCATGTGAACGCGGCAAGGCTGGGCCCCCTGCCTATGGGATCTTATAGCTGGAAACAAATGCCATCAGAAGCAGACTCATTGCAAAGGGGTTACTCAAGCCTCTCACTCTTTCAGCTCCTAAATGTCCCATAAAGGCCAAGCAGATCTGGACACTCACACCAGACTACTGAATTCAAGAAAACAACTGACTGAAGAATGCGAAGAAAAAAGGGCAGAGGATGGCAGGGCCCCCCCCATTCGGGCACCCTGCTAAGCGGTAGTGAGGACATTTCTTGCAGCCATACCCAGGTGCCCTGCCTTTGACACTGACCATGTGGCCAGTGCCTGCGGAGGCAGGCTCACCCCAGCATGTGTTAAGGGGTCTCCCTGAGAACACAGAGGGTAGGACCAATCGACGCTTCTGATCTATGGCTTAAGACCCACATGCCAACTCCTGGAGGCCCCCACACGTTCGTCAGACACACACACATTCATGCACAACCAACCATTGGGAGCCACAGACTGATCTCATTTTGTTTCTGCTTGAATAACCCACTTTCACACACACAGCTCTGTTGTAGGCAGCCCACCTCCTTTCTGGCCTCACTTCCATTGGGAGGAGATACCTGGAACCTTAGCTGAGAGCCCAGGGAAACACTATAAGCAGGACAAGCATGAGGGGACCAGACCTAGACCACGGGGAGATCAGAACATGTTGCTACCATACTTCAACATGGCAGAGAGGGCATGGGGCCCCTCCAACAGGCTGCAGCTGTGTGCTGTATGCCCACCTCTCCTGCCTGTGGATGGCATTTGGCTGGTATGGAAAAGCAGAGAGTGATGTTGAAGATCTCTGCTCGGAGGGATTTGGTCAATGAGGAGACTGGCCACTAGCAGCAAGGGAGCTGGGCCGGAAAGCAGAACTCTCACTTTATTCCCACATTGAGCTGGTCCTGCATCCCTAGAGACGGACCTGCATCTCCTACTGCTCCCATCATGATCTCTAGCAGACTGGATCATCTTTCATGGATGGGATTTCCCAGTATCTATTTTTTCCACTTGCTCTGTTTCAAGTGGCTCAATTTAATCAATTGCGAGGCCCTTGGCAGATAGGATTTTTGATGAACTAGGCACCAGGTCTTCCTTCTCTTGGGGGTCCCCAAAGAGAAGAGATTTGGACCATGGCTGTGCAAGTAAGCAAGCATCAGATAGAAAGCGCTTAAACACAGGTACGTGGTCCTCGTATGAAATGGCAGATGGCAGAGAAGGTCTCACAAAGGAACCTTACTCAGCTTCCAAGGCTTGGCAGGAGCTGGGGCTTTTCCCACCCGAGGGCTCCCAAGGACGGGCTCAGCATCAGTCCTTCGAGGCCAAGCGACACAGGGCCTTTGCCCAGGATGCTGGGCCAAGCCTTCCTGGGAGTCCAGTACAACTCAATCCACTGCACAGGTAGGTACAAAGCAACACTAAGCGCTGCATGGGAACCGATCATGAGGATGGCTGTAAGCAAGCACGTTGTGAGGGCTGTCCAGGCACATTAGGAGGGGCGGCACTGCATTAATTCCAAGCAGGGAACTCACGGAAAGCAGAGGGCTCGTACCTGGGATGGCTGTGGGCTGCGCCGAGGTCCTGAACACAAAACGAGCCGCCTTGGACTTCCCCTGCTGGTTCTCAGCCACCACGTAGACCTCATACTCAGCATTCCAGTCCAGGGACTTGAGCATGATGTGGTCACTGCCAGATGGGAGCCTGATCTCTGGTTTCCACTCGGAAGAGAGTTTCTGGGAGACACCGGCAGGAAGGACACAAGACACCAGGCAGGATTAGGTGAGCACACTGGTGAGACTAGCTAACAGAAGAACTTTGGTGTGTCAATAATGATTGGTGCAAAATCCGATATCATAAAAGGCTAATATGAAAATTGTCCCCTCGACTGGGAGTTCAACCAGGAGTTCAATCAGGGGGCGGGTCCAGCCGGCCAACTGCCCAGGGCCCCTCCCCTTTGTTGGCCCCGCCCCCAATCAGCCCCTCCCATCCCAATAGGGCAGCGGTTCTCAACCTGTGGATCGCGACCCCTTTGGGGGTTGAACGACCCTTTCACAGGGGTCGCCTAAGACCATCGGAAAACACATATTGAATATATAATTACATATTGTTTTTGTGATTAATCACTATGCTTTAATTATGTTCAATTTGTAACAATGAAAATACATCCTGCATTTCAGATATTTACATTACGATTCATAACAGTAGCAACATTACAGTTATGAAGTAGCAACGAAAATAATTTTATGGTTGGGAGTCACCACAACATGAGGAACTGTATTAAAGGGTCGCGGCATTAGGAAGGTTGAGAACCACTGCAATAGGGGGTGGAGCCTGCCGGCCAACCGCCTGTGGCTGCTCCCCTCCAGCCAGCCGGATCCCACCCGTGCACGAACTCGTGCACAGGGCCTCTAGTAATGAAAATAAAAATCAATGATAGAATGTGGTGTTTATTCTTTATCAGCCTGACAAACCCTAAGGGTTACACACGTCAGGGGGGCAAACTTACATGTTCGCAAACACGAACAGTGGCGGTTGCTAGTGGGACATGAGTATCAGGTGTACATTTTACCATTAGGTCCAATCCTGGGCCACTCAGAGTGCCCACAGGAAGGTGCACTCAGCTCAGAAGAGCACTGCACAGGGCAAAATCTGCAGCTGGCGGTAGAGGGTCCCTTTTTCCCCTTGAATGCTCTTTCTAGTTATATCCCTCACTGAACCAATGAGCTTGTTCTGAGTGGGAGTTTATCAAGCCATTGGCAGGTGACCTCCTCCCTGACACAACAAGGAGGTTGGCAGAACTCCTGAAAAGTCTTCAGATGGTTTCACAGTTGCTCACTCAGCCCACCTCTTCACAGTCTTTAGAGAGGTGTAGGCTGGGCTCACAAGAGCGTTTGGCAAATGTTTACTAAGTGACGAGCTGCTCCTCAGAAGAGCAGAACACGCTCTAGTGTCACCTGGGAGGTGGTGTGGCCCACGGCGGAGCTGCAGGGAGACTTATCTTACAGCACAGCCATCTCTCCAGGCAGAAAGACTGGCACCAGCCAAAGACCTGCCTTCAGGAAGGGGCCGTGGCCACCACTATTGTGGGGAAATGCTGGAGGGAGTGCTAGTTTCCTTAGCATCTAACCCGGAAGTGGAGGTGCTGGAAGTTCGCTTGTGCATATGACACCATATGGTCCCTTTTTTTAAAAAAATATATTTTATTTATTTTTTACAGAGAGGAAGGGAGAGGGATAGAAAGCAAGAAACATTGATGAGAGAGAAACATCAATCAGCTGCCTCCTGCACACTCCCTACTGGGGATGTGCCCGCAACCAAGGTACATGCCCCTGACCGGAATCAAACCTGGGACCCTTGAGTCCTCAGGCCGACGCTCTATCCACTGAGCCAAACTGGTCAGGGCATATGGTCCCTTTTTAATTGAAAACAAAGAAATTCAGCTGTCTTTCCCCTTATTTCTCTGAAAAGCTTCTTTCGTTGGCAAACATTGTTACCAAAGAGACAACCAGTATGTAAAGCAGGTATTTAATAAAGCAATCATGATGTCATATAATACATGTTAATATATATTAATGATATTTAGCAAACACGAAGTTTTCAGAGGATGGTCAAGGTTGTGGAAATCTAACACATCTCAGTGTTTTGCCCCAGCTGTCTTTCCAGCTCAGACCTGCCTGGCACAGCCACAGTGATTCTTCTGGAAAACTGACATCTGAGCAGGCCTCCAAGGGAGGCACTTCCCGCCCCAGCCAGCACCTTAGCAGTAATTACTGTATTTACCAGGCACGGAGGTTTCCAAGTGTCAGTCACATTTCCGGTTTGCATATATTACAACTAATGTTTATAACAACCCGATAAGCTATTTTGTTCCCATTTTACAAAAGAAGAAATGGAAGTTTGGGGAGACTGGATGGTGTATTTGGGTCACATGCTGGACCTGGACTCCATGTGTGTCTGGTCACATCCGTGTAACAACAGCCGGAGGATTCCACCGCCCCCCCTTCCCCCCCAGCCCTGTCCACTTCCAGTGCTGCCAGGTGTCTGCCCAGCGCCTGCTTCTCGTCTAGGAGTCTGTGTGGTCCATGACCTAACCAGGTGAGGGCTCACCTTCCACTTTGACAGGGCTGATCCAAAGGCAGAAGGAGTAAGTCATCTTCCTGGAAAAAGCCTTTCTTGGGGGCTAGTTGAAGAAAGGCAACTGCTCTGTGGCTCAGTATTTCCTAAGTAAGAAACCCTAGCAACCGACTGTTCCCAGTGCTCTGACATTGGCTCAGCAACTGGCCATGGTTGGCAATGGCCAAGGGTCATTCTTAAACCAAAACAGGAGAGAGATGCTAAATTAGGGGTTGGGGATTAAAGGTGTAATGATGGAAATCTTAGACGGGTGCTGAGCCAACCAGGAAGAAAAGGCTTAGGGCCACACTCATGGTTAAGCAGGATTAGAACAGCTCAGTGCGGTGAAGAGCTGGCGAGGGAGCTCGCCCAGTTTCGTCCATCAGACAGATCTGGGTCTCAACCCTGGCTGGCCCGGCCTTGTGAGGTCAGGCTCTTCCTGACTGCACAGCCCTCACTTCCTCTGCCACGCGTGGCAGTCACCGTGAGGCCTATTTCATAGGGTCCTGTGGGGAGAAATTGCATGTACTCACAGCACCTGGCCCGTGAGGTTGCAGTGATTAGATAGCAGTTGCAAAAAGCACAGGGTAATGGCAAAATAACTTTGTACAAAAGTTCAAGAAGCAGGAAAACCAGTCATGGTATGAGTTTCTCACCACCACAGCCATTTTGGAGGTTTTGAAATGGTCCCAGTGTGGACATGAACTAACAGCTGTAGGTCAGTCTTGAGATTTGGAACCCTGATCAGGGCCCAACACACAGAGTGATGGTCCAGCCCGCCCAGTAAGGGGCAAAGCTGGACCTGGAACCCGTGTCTGTCCAGCCACATCAGGCTCTGCCTGTGGTTGCCCCACCAAGGTGTGTGCCAGGGATTCGGGGCAGGGCTGAGCCCTGGGAAGGGGCACTCACCGTGCGGTACTTGACCAGGTAGTGTCTGATGGGGGAGCCGCCATCATCCTGCTTGATCAGGTTCACCTTGATGGAGTTGCCATCCTCTCCCATCTGCCCTTCGAGCTTAGGAGCGCTGGGTTCCCCTGAAACAGCCAGTTGGTTCACGTGACATTTTCCTCCACAAAATGAAACCCATCCATCAGGAAGGGATGCACTGATGGGGTGGGGCTGGGCTCTTTTGCTTTCTCAGAAATTCAAATGGTTAAAAAGCAGAAAACATAAGACTTTGGATTCCAGTTAGATGCCTCAGACTTAGCCCAAACTTAGGCCCTTTGGGGATGTTCTGGGCAACTCACTCCCTGGAAGCACAACCCTTCACACTCCTGAGCTGGGCCTTTGCTCCTGTTTCCCCCTGGAACCTGCATTTACTTTTCACTGCTATGCTCTTACAACAGAAAACATAACTTTTATAAACCTGATATTTTGAGAAATGGCCTGAAATATGGAAAAATGAGAGCATTTAAGGAGAAAGCTCACATGCATAAAATATCTTTTCAAAGCAGCCTAGTTTCTTCTCTGGATATCTAAGTAATAACATTAAAAAATAATTTAAGTTCCTGGCTGTGATTAAATAAAGCACTGTTTGCCAAGGCAAGTTTCTTATGTGTCCTGCATGTATGGCTCAGCTGATTGAGATAATCCTCAACACCTTGTCTTAAAGTAACAATCACGAAGCCCCTGTCTTTGTGAGGAAAGAGAGAGAACAATGTGTTTAGCAGTTTTCAGCAGAAAAAGGTCCCTGTGTGTCTTTATTTGCAGCTTGTGCTCAGTGGGCAGCGTTGCATCCAAGGCCGAGAGGGAAGATGTGCTATGTGACAGGCTGCTGGGGTGGTGTGGGGGGGCTTGTCAGTGAGCGAGGCACTGATTTACTTTAAGATAAACTATTTCATTAGTAGACTCTGAAAGCAGTGAGGTGAGAAATGTGTGCTATGGAAAGTTAAAATGAAGAATTAGCACACTTGGAAATACTGCACTTCCTGTGCGAGCCACCTCTGAATCGGTTTCAAGGCCTCACAGGGAACGTTTGGGAGAGCCCAGAAAACAGAGACCTTCTGCGTGGGCTGCCTGGGCTTGTGCTCTGGAAGACAGAACCACAGACGTGAGACAAGAGCCAGGAAAGGCTTGTCAATAGGGTTGGGACCTCAGCACCCCAAGTGTACCTTTGGAAACGTGTGAGAAGGCTGCTGGCAAGGCCCGTCCAGCCCACTGTCCTGGGTCAGTTACTCTGGGAACCTCAAAACGGCCCTGTGTCCTGCTCTCCCTTTAAGACAAAGAGGAAGCAGAGAGAAAGCTCAGGAGAGCTCTGGTACCCAGCCTGGGCCAGCGGTGTGCGCGTCACCTGGGAGCTCCTTAGAAATGCAGACTCTTATTTTAACAGGATCCCACGTAATCCATGTGCACATGTAGGCTTGGGAAGTGCTAGCAAAGGGCACACATAAATGCTGCGACAGTGAAGATGCATAACCTTAATGCTGAGCAACCAAGTATTTGTGCTTGTTATGTGTGTTTTGTTTTTGTTTTTTACCAGTGATTAAAACAAAAAAAAAACAAAAATAAAAAAGATAAAGGGGTTTCAGGCAAAAACTTGTCCTATTTTTAAGACATTCTGTAGTCACAGGTCCCAATGATTCAGTGGAGAATATTTAGAAGATAATGTCAAGGCATGTATGCTTTTCACGTTCTTTTGGCCCGTTCTAAGCCCTAGTAATCCAGTTAGGTCTTATATCACCATGAATACCCAGTGCTGAGAGGAAACGCCAGGGAGTACAGGTTAGTAGGCCAGCTCCGTGTCACTCACCAGTGCTGAATGGTGGGTGTAGGAGATGCAGGGGAACTTTACAATGCTATTCTCTGGCTGGTTAGGGTGACCAACTCACTCTGGATGGCCTGAGACTTTCCAGGTGTTATCACACCAAGTCTTAGGCTCTGGAGAAACTGTTAGTCCCAGGCAAACCAGGGGCTTGGTGACCTGGCACTGAATGGATATGGACACTAGCCATTGTAAGTTTCTGTCCCAGAAGCGCGATATGGGCTCTGTGATGAGTGGCCTGTTTGCCTTCAGGAGGAGGGAAGGAGGCGGCATCAGCAGCCCTTCCAACACACCCATTGGGCAGGGACCCAGCCCTTCCCCAGGCACCATGGAAGGGAAATAGAGATTAAATTATTATTATTTCCTCTCATATTTGGGCAGGGTGGGCTCCCAAGGCTGAACCGATATCGCCAAACATAAACCTCTACTTTGGGGGATATCTATTTAGATGGGGTGCTTTCTCTGATGTCTGTGAGATCCCTTTAAACTGAATGCTAAGGATGCCGCAGGAGAGCCTGGGGGGCGCTGGTGCCTTGGACGGGTCTCCACATTTGAAAATACAGGCCCTGGACCCGATGCTCTCACTCTGACATCACAGTGACACACCATGGCCACTGCCCCTGATGGACTGTAAGATCACCACAGCTATTTCCATGACACTGTAAAAGACAGAATTTGAAATATAGGATATTCATCCATTTTTAGGAAATGCACCCCAAATCAATAATTTTATATTTCTACGGCACAGAATGGTCCTTTAAAAAATTTTTAAGTTATCTTAAAAATGTCTTATCTTTTAAAAGAGAACCTAAGTCTCTTCAAAGACATATGAATGAAAATCTCACCAATGAATCCCTGTATAAACCAACAGCTCTGATGAAGGCACTCTCCTATTCTATATAATAAATGGGTAATATGCAAATCAACCAAATGGCAGAACAGCTGGTCACTATGACACACACTGACCACCAGGGGGCAGATGCAAGCAGGAGCAGCTGCCCCCTGGTGGTCAGTGCGCTCCCACAGGGGGAGCGCCACTCAGCCACAAGCTGGGCTGACGTCTGGTGAGCGCAGTGGCGGTGGCAGGAGCCTCTCCCGCCTCTGCAGCAGGGCTAAGGATGTCCAACTGATGGCTTAGGCCCACTCCCTAAGTCATCAGTCGGCCATTCTTTCAGGGCTCCTGGACTGCTAAAGGGCACAGGCCAGGCTAAAGGGACCCCCCCTCCTCCCGGAGTGCAGGAATGTCGTGTACTAGGCCTCTAGTCTTTGTATGTTTCAGAAAAACATCATTGGGATCACAGAGAAACCACTACACTATATCACAGTTAGAACATGGTTGTAACATTTACAAGTTAGAACACTATAACTTGCTATCATTTTATCTCAGTGACAACCATGATACTCTGATATGTGTGTACTACTTTCTCACATAACTTAGAGCATTTTATATCATATAATATTCAGGTGTGTCATTTAGAGTGCTTTAAATATGAGTTATTCAACAAATGTATATAATGAGTACCTACTAGGTACCAAGTAAGCTACTGGAGTTTCAAAGGTGAATAAGACAAATGAAAAAAACTGAGTTATAATCAATTAAATAAATGCAGGGGCCCATGTATAAAAACATAAACTTTCCTATGACAGTATTTCTAAAGGAAGTGCATATTCAACTAACATCATAGGGATTCTGACCCACTTTGTGGCTGTGTTACTTATCGTAGGCACATCAAGATGTGGAAAGAGCAGGATTTGTTTAATCAATTGTCTTACGCATCTTCAAATGTTTACTGCCAGTCATTTTTTTTAAAGGTTAGGTAAGGAGTAAAGAAACTATTTCCTGAACTCTCTGTGCCAAGGGGTAGGGGAGGCTGGGGAAAGGTCAATGGGGAAAAAAAAGGAGATATATGTACTACTATTTGTAATACTTTAAACAATAAAATAAAATAAAAAACAAAAACAAAAAAAGAAGTCTCCAGCCAGCCTGGAGAAGGAGGGGAGCTGAGGCTAAAGGAGTGGGCGTGGCCTTCAGGAGGCTCCCTGCTTTGGAGAACACATTAGGGGAGGAGAGTATTTAGAGGGTCCCCACGTGCACTCTGATCTGCGGTGGCTGCTCTGATTGAAATCATTATGGGTGATTTCAGCAAAACCAATATTGTAATTATTTGTAAATGCTGGTTTGCAGTTCAGCAGCAAGAGGCAGGTTGCTCCAGGAAAACCGTGGGGTTAATTATACCCTCTGAGTTTAGCTTCAGCCGCGAGTTTTATTTCCCCCCAAAATATTTTCTGTAAAGACTAAAACAGCGGTACCTTAAAAATGAACCTTGCCAATAATAAATATGAAATATCAAGCAGTTCTGGTATTTTCTAGAAGAATGTGACTCGTGGACGCAAGAAAATAAAAGACTGTACCATAGAGACCACCTATAGTCAGAAATAGTACATGCAGGTCCTACGAATTCCTCTTATAAACGGCAATTTAAATGTGTATTTCTGGCCTTGCAGATTGTAGGTTCTTCTTTGTAATTATTGTGCTACTGTGCCCTGAACCTGGAGTCAGCTTCGTCCTTCCCCTCATCAGCAGAAGCTCTGGGGTCAGATCCCTGCTGCTGGGTGTCTGCATTCCACAGCAGGAGTGAGAGCAAGCCCGGGCAGTCAGACAGCATTTGTGAAGTTTAGGAGGAAAACGGTCTACTACTTCTTACTCAAAAAAGCCCGACACCAGGAGCTGTATCTTCTGAATGAAAGGCTAAGGTGCCAACAGGCACCCTGAGAAAGGCTGGGTCAACCTGGCATCTCCCTTCATCCACTCTACTTTCTCTCCCCCGGCACTCGCAGGTTTGGACATTGGAGATAAACCCACAGTGGATGTAGGGGCTGTGTTAGAACCTCTCTCTTTGTCTATCAAGTAGGATTATCTAGCATTAAAATTATTGTTTCTTTTGTTTAAGTACTGTTCCCACTTGTGTATGCCTTTTCATTGTTTTAAAAAGCCTAGCATGCATGATTTAGCTGTTTAAATGTGAAGCCTATTTGATTTTTCCGACTCAGGAACATTCACAATGACATCAAGAGGTTAGAAGTTTGACTGGTCCTCAGGGGACCGGCAAATTCCTTAAGGGAATCAGGATTGAGAGCTATTAGAACACTAAGTCTCCCTCCTGAGACCCAACACTTTGCCCTAGATGCCACACAAGCCAACCTAACGTGATCTGTGCTGCATACATTCTTGGACCCTCAAACTGTGCCCAGTGTATGGAGAAAGGATGCTTAGCTCCCTGTGGCCAAGCTCACGGAGGCGTCTAGCTCACAAATCCCGTCCAGCATGGCATTTCCCAGGAGTTAGGAATGTGAATGTGTGTGCTGGGGGAGGGGTGGGCAGGAAAATGTTCCCACAAAATACAAATTAACCAGTCACAAATGAACTCTGACAGACCAAACCACAAAATACCAGTTCCCTTCTCATGGGTATCATGAAAACACCAACAGATTAATTGATCAATTATCTTTGTTTCATCATCCTAAAAAGAAAATATAACCACAAAGGTATGGCTTGTGGTTATGGGGCCCATCCAGGCTGAAGAAGTTATGACAGAAATAACTGCTATCGCCAACAATTAACTCGGCTCCCGCCTCTGAGGCCCCAAGGCACATGTTCTACATCACCTCCTGGAGGGCAGAGTACTCCTGGGAGGAGCCTCACACTAGTGAACCCTGGGGATGTGGGCACTTTCCACAGCCCCCGTCCCTGTCCCCTGTCCACGGATCTGGGCCGACCCTTCACTGCCTGCCCTAGTCCTCTGGTGCTAGCTCTCCACCCTGGCAACCAGCAGCGCAGGGAGTCCTTGGGAACAGAGGCAATTAGAGCAGAAGCCCTGGTGGAAAGTCTATGCGAGCTGCCCGAGACCGTGGCCATCCGACACAGCTGTAAAAATAAAGGAGGGAGTGGAAGGGGTGGTTAGTGATGTTTCAATCTAAGAAGGAAGAGTGGGTGTTACAGAGTTTAGTTCATCAGAACCAGCATGTCCTAGTACGAGTCAGTGTCAGTAGCTAAATAAAAAAAAAGATCATTATGAGGGGTGGGGAAGGATCCATGCTCCGACATGCAGCACACTGAGCAGGGGAGGGGCGGTGAGAGGGGGGCAGGGGCTTCTGGTCACACACATGCTGGTGGGGGAGGGGTCCCATTTACAGAGTCCTCAGTAGCTGACGGAGTCACTGGTGGAAGCAGGCCCTGCAGTGACACATGCCATCTCAGGGGCATTGAGGTCCCCGCAGCAAACCCACTGCTGGGCTCTCTGGCAGGGGCCTGAGCTTCCCTGCTGTGAACTGCCACACCCAAAGCTCGGGAGGCTCAGAGCCAAGAGTTGCTGGGGCCCCGTGCTCAATGCCTGTTCTCACCTCCCTTCTAGTTCAGTGCTGCTGGGCCCAGTGAACACTGTGGATGGGAACCCCAGGGGACGTAGCTAGATCCTCCAGCACATGCTAAGTGCACCCCAGGCAACTGGATTTCAGCAGCTGTGGGGTGTACAGCCCACTGCCCGAAAGACTCCCTGCTCACTTACACCCTCCGCATGTAGGTCCAACCAGTGCCCAGAGAAAGGAGGCAATAGCGCCCTGAACTAACAAGCTTTATTTCTCTCCCCTGGAAATGTTATTTGCTCTAATCTCTCCGTCCCCTTAAATTTTATTAATAACGGCCATTTCCTGCTTCTCATCTCAATGACAAGTCCTTTGCCTGTCCCTTTGCTGCTGGCAGGAGAGGGTCCGGCTGTGGAATGCTACAGGCTCTCGGCGAACGTTTTCGTACTGGCCACATGTTTCACTGACAGCTGAGACCGCTGCTAAAGTGTGTTTCTAGGGCAGCTGCAGGAAACATCTTCAAACATTTCTTCCCTTGCTGACTCTGTCTGGGAGAGCTCTCTAACTGATCTGTGGATTAGTTTCTACCTTGTGAACGCTGTGCTTTGTTTCATTCTGAACTATAGCATTGCACAGAAATGGCCAAGCTTGTTCTTCTTTTTTTAAATAGTACATTTTTATTAATTTCAGAGAGGAAGGGAGAGGGAGAGACAGAAACATCAATGATGAGAGAGAATCATCAATTGGCTGCCTCCTGCATGCTCCCTACCGGGGATCAAGCCTGCAACCTGGGCATGTGCCCTGCCTGGGAATTGAACGGTGACCTCCTGGTTCATAGGTCAAAGCTCAACCACTGAGCCACACTGGCTGCACTGGCCAAGCTTGTTCTTAAAAAAGAAAGTAAAGGTCTGTAAAAAATCAATAAAATATAATAAAAAAAAAAAAGAAAGTAAAAAGTTTCAACCCAATGTCTGCTCACACTAAGATTTCAGGGGGAATGTCCAGGCTTTGTCCCCACACATCAGCCTCTGAGCAGTCACCATGCTCTAAAGGAGTCTGATCCCCCTTGGGGAAATGATGAAACCACAATATTTGGGGTGGGACTTGGAGTTAAGAAAATCTTAGGTTGCCAACATCCCCTGTCCTAAGACTCAAAGGTTAGGATGCTTTTTAAAGTATGTAAAATACATGATCCGATGTTTCCCTGCTTTGGGGACATTCCTACTTAATGGGGACAATGTAAATATCAAATATTTCCTTTTTGGAAATAAGGACAGCTCTGATCCAAGACCTCTTTCCAGGAGTCCGGATGTAAATGGGACTAAATGGGGACACAGTGGCCATGCTGAGAGAGCCAAAGTCCTCAGAGTTGGTCAGTGTGGAGGGGGTGGGAGAGGGAACATCACAGGACTCACACACGTGGGGAGCGCTCAACGAAATGACAGACCAGGAGCGAAGAGCATGCGAGATGAGCTGTGGATGGGTTTGTTCCTGTGGATGTCGCCCAATCAGTTTTCAGAGAAGTGAGGTCAACCGGGGCCCTCGCATGCATGGGCACACTGGGCGTTATTGGGGTTAGTTTCGCTTTTGTGATCAGTGTAGCCTGTATGTGTCTCAGGTTGGGATTTGAAGAAAATTTTCCGTGAGAAGAGAGCAGAATGCACATGACTCCCGGGCCAAGGTTCTGAAATCGTTGTTCGCTTTTGCCGGGAAAGCTGTGAGCAGGGGCTGCCTTTCTCTGTAATCGTGAAATATTTTCACAAAGTCGTGACAGTTGCGATATTAACTAATTATTTCGTCACTGCTCTGTACTTAATTAGCCTATAATTTTATCTCCTTTGCTGTAATGGCCAATCACGTGCTTCTTGGTCACATGGCGCTCTCCTGTCATGGTCACACCAAGTGACTTTGGCTTTGACTTGTCCCCCCTGCCCGGGAGAGGGTCTCTCTTGACTAGTGACACCTCAGTGATCACAGCAAACTGCTCTAGTTCCAAATTCTTAAGTCTCTCATCTCAGAAAGTCCTCAATTTGCATGAATTTCATGAAGCACTCTCATTGGTTTTAAGCAAATACAACCTTTGCAACTATAGGGTTTCACTGTTGTGAACAAATACATTTTCACATTTTCATGTAAATATGACTCATTTTAGAGCAACTGTGGTTTTTAGAACTACTGGATAAAGTTAAACAACAATGTCATAAAGCTAATTTACAAAACTGTTTTCTGGGAAATAATTTTTGCGAACTATCTGGTAAAAATTCAAGTTTGCAAACTGTGCTGTGGCGAAGTGGTTTTACTGTAGATAGCAGTTTGCATGGCCAAATTCTTAAAGTAAAACATTAAACCAAAGGCTGTCTTGGTATCAAATTGTCATGTGAAGGCTGCAAAGAATGATGAGTTCTGCCTGTGAATTGAAAACAAGAGGAACTCTCCCAAATGGCTTTACTTAGGAAATCTGAGACAGGAAGCAATGAGCGGGCCCTGGGTGCCAGGCCGTGGTCCCAGATTTATTTCACTTATCAGAACAAAGAGTTTTACCTTCTGTTCACCAGCGTGGACGACATCATCAGCACCATGCAAGCCACATGACAAAGTCACATGATACGCACGCACATGATTGGTTGAAAGGAAAGTGGAGAAGGTCACATGGAAAATACAAAAAAATTAAAAACTGATGTAAACAATGGGCAGGGAGAAAAATCAACAACAAAATCACAGACTAAATAAAAGGAGAAATCAAATTAAATTAGCAGCATATATAGGAAACATTGGGAGGACGGCAAAACCGCCCAGAAATGGAGAATAATAAATCATAAAGAGCATTTGGTTAACACCAATAAGCATTAGATACAGCTGCAACACTGCATATTAATAACACATCAAGGAGCATGTAAAGTGGCTTTAAAACAGGGAGGTGTTTCTGTCAGGACCCAGCTGGCAGAGTCAATCCGGAAACTGCTGAAGGAAGAGAAAACGCAAGTCATTATCACAGGTTCCAGAAACATCTCGGCGTCCTTGGGGAACAAGGGCAGGGAAACAGAACATGGGTCGTGAAGGAAAAGTCCCCTGATGCTTAAGGCGTAGACTGAGCTCTGTGAGGACAGGCCGGCACATCACGTCAAGAGAAGTCATTTCATTTCCTTTGGTGCAGAGGAGGGGGCCTGGGCATCTTTCCTCACTTCCTTACTCATGTGCCCCAGTTATCCCAGGGGCCCCAACACATGTAAAGGAAGAGGTCAGTGTAGAAAGAAAATAGGTGTCCTTCTGGTGGTTGAGGCAACGGCTCCGTCCACAGTGAACAGAAACGAAACCCCTAACCCAAGAAGCTGAGAGGAGAGTTTGATGTTAAACAAATGCTCAGCCTTTGTAGAGACAGTTAACTCTTTAGAACTGTGGCTGCATCGATAAGACATGTTTTGACTTTTACAAGGAAAAAAATCGTTTTCTTGTTTGGATTTATCCCCATTCCTTTTCGTTCTATGTTGTGTTTACACTCCAATTTGTTGCTTACATGTGACATGAATGACCTTGTTTTGTAAGAAGGCATTTTGGGTTTCCCACCTCAACTTCCATAGGCTGAGGGGAGTTTTGGCTATTGGCAATTGAAGCTGGGAGAGAAGAAAGGCCAAGACGGGAGGTGAAGATATCACTCTGCCCAACTACTTAAGAATATTTTGAGAGAAATGTTTTAACCAAAGTACGTGCTCCCTTGCTACTGTGAGCTGATAGCCTGCAAGCTTCTTATCGTCCGACACACACAGGTTCTGCACATGCCCACCATTGGTGTCCCGTAGGAATTCTTACAACTGAGAAGTTTATCCTTTGATTTTATTTAGGACACCTTCATTCATTCATAATTGTGACTAGATCAAAACACACACACACACACACACACACACACACACGGGACATTCTTTCATTCCAGCCTCATTGACGGACTGATGATTGGGAGATTTTGTGTGCTTCTAGCTGCTGTGCTGTTAGTTCCACTGCCATTCAGCTGTGCAGCATTTTGCCTTCCTGTTGAGCAATGCATTCATGCTACATACAGGCTGCTGCCCAATTGTGACTGTCTTTCCTTTATCTCGGTATCCACTGGGACCTACAATTTGGGTCAGTAGCCAAGTGGTTTAAAATAAAAAACTCAAACTTTCTTCTCTTTGGATGACACTATGAAACATTTTATCTGTGGGCAGAAATGCCTGATATTTAATAATTAAGCACATGTCAGGGGAGAAACACCTAATTCTTCCTTAAGGAAAAATATGGATCCAAGGTTGTATTTTACTTCCAGAGAAGATGGACTTACGTTGAGGCACCTTAAATATGACAGCACTTGTGCAAATGTGTAAGACGGCCTTCTCCCCTGCGCCCGGCACACGCACTGCACACAGGAGAAGGGATGGGGGCATCGTTGTTAGAAGAACAAAGGTCCTGTTAGTTGCATTCCTTTTCCAAATGCAAAAACCCATCATCGGAATTAAACCCATGTGAGCACAGTTCATTTTCACCCACTCTGCTCTGCTGGCGAAATGAAACCTCAAAAGCGTCAGGAATTAAAATTCACTGCAGCACACACACGAAGAGAACACCAAGAAAACAGGCCCTTAGCTATGCTCTGCAGTAGGAAAAACACCATTCCATGCAACGCAGAACCAGGACAACCTTTTCTTCTCCGTTCAATTTTGTGTGGAAAGCCTGGCCCGGGAGTGGGAGCGGTACTGTTCACACCTGCTTTCTTCTGCTTTCTGTGGCCTGACCCCAGCCCTGCTCACGGATGCATGCCACTTTTCGGTGCACTCAGACATGTTATAAAATCTAAAACTCTCACACAGCTGAGCACCCACACTGCCACACTGTAAACACACACACACACACACACACACACACACACACACACACACACACACCTACAGTTGATCTGGCAGGGGATTTAAGGCCTAAGCACAGCGTACTTCATTCGAGTTTTAAAACGATTAGCTTGGAGCATGTTATGGCTGTGATGAAGTGCAATGTTTTCCACAACGGAAAAGATGATATGGTCTGGCCCCGACTCTATCATCAGGAGATGAATTCCAGAACTTTCATCTGGATGCTCAATACACAAACTTGAGCAAGCCCGGTTATGCGTTTTTGGGCCATGCTTTTTCTTGCACCGGGAGCTGCCTTCCTTCCCATGTGCTCTGTGGACACAGCTCCCCAACTGGGCCAGACACGGGAAGCAGGCTGTCAGGACTCAGCCAGTCTTCCTTCTTGGCTTCACCCTCTGCCTTTCTCCAAATAGCCATTTTCTCCTACTCCTTCCCTCATTTTCTTTTAGCTACTGCTATATGAGCGTGTGGCGTGTGTGTGTGTGTGTGTGTGTGTGTGTGTGTGTGTGTGAGCATCAGTGGGGAGGGACAATGAAAGCTGGGAAGAGATGCTATTGTTCTGTCTCGTCAGGGTTTCTCTAATCCTTTTCTAATTTTGACTTGAGGATAAATTTTGAGAAGTCTCCTCATGCACAGGTATTCTTTACATAATCACCCCAGCTCCTTGGGTGGTGCAGGGTCTGCTCTCATGGCCAAGCACACAGCATGCTTAGAAAACCACACTGGTGAGGAGCAGCCATGCATTCTCAACTGTTGCTTTAATACAAGGGAAAACCATGAGCAGCGCTGTGACCCAGAAGTCAGATCCGCAACAAGCAGCAATCTGGCCAAGGGCAGCTCAGCTCCGTACTCACTAGATGATTCTGTGGTTGTAAGAGCAGGAAGAGGCCAGGTTGCTATGGAAACAGGAATCACAGAAAAGGCTCAGAAAGGTGAAGGAGGAAATGGACATAAATTCATAAGTGTGTCTATATATTTAAGGCATTATGATTAAGAAAAGACAGGGATGGTGAAGGAGATATTCTCTCACTGTTTTCTTCCCTGATTTATCAATGTGAATATACTTTAAGGAGATTATCAGAGATTTTGCCGACAAATCACTCTGACACATTGAGAAATAATATAACCCTCATTTACTCTTACCATGAATTACAGCTATTATGTGCTGAGCCCTGTGTTTTTCATACTTGATCTTTAACTCTCACAAATACCTACAAGGTAGGTAAATCTGTCCTCCATTTGAGTGGTGAGAAATCTGAGGTTTGGGGAGGCTGAGTGACTCATTAAGATTATGGAGCTGTGCACAGAGGTGGCAGAGCTGGGATTTGAACCAGGCTGTTTCCAGCTCCCAAGCCGGACTCCTGTTGCAGCGGTACACAGCTTGGAACGACCCAAATGGGGTGGTGGGCCTGCTCCTGACTCAATCAGGTGCAATAAGAGGCTTCTGAGCATGGGGCGGGGTCCCCTCCTGTGGCTGTGCCCGAAATGCAGGGACTTCTGACGTACTAAGGAGAGCTCAGCCAGCCAGCGGCACACCCCTGCCTGCACCCTGTCTGCTGCCTTGGGCATGGGTTGGCATGACACTCTGGGACTCACTCAGCAGCTGTCTCACTTTGCTCATTCCCCCCAGAAAGAGGTTCAAAACTGTAAACAGGGGAGGCCCGGAGCTCCTTCTACTGTGGAGGATGCAGGGGACACAGCGACAGGGCCACCAATAAGTAAGATTGTACAGCGAGGCTCAGTCAGATGATAAAGGCTGGGACTGACCAGGTGACATCATTGTCAGGCTTAGTGGCACTGCTCATGGGCGGGCGAGCACAGCTTGTGAACACCATGATGTTTTGTGCGAGGAGGTCAGGGGAGAGCAAGTAGCCCTCCTGGTTTATAGAGGAGAGAAAACGAGGCCCACTGTGGAGGTGAATAATGTGCCTACGGCCTGGCACATCTGCAAGCAGACAATGCTTATTTTCCCACAAATATTTACGAGAAATGTATGCATTTATGAAAAAAGCAAAAGGTCTAGGCTTTGCTTTCTAATTTCAGTGTCTGAATCCAACTGTGCCAATTAAAATGAAAGTGAAAACACAACACCCCCGAGGCATTTCTTATGAGCCTGCAGTTAGAGTTTTCTGGGCAAATTCCTTTGGCCTCTCTGAATATCAGCTCGGGTCCAGCTCATTAAGCAGCCAGCACTGGGCCGGGATGCAGCAGCCTCAGGAGCCTGCCCGCAGCATATTCGGTCCAGAACCACACCCCTCACTTGCCTCCCCTCAGGGAGTGCTGCCGCCCAGGAATCGGGGAGGCCCTGTGCCTATTTCTCTTCTCGTTTTCTTCTCTACAACCCGGCGCTGCTTTCCGCCAACAGAGTTGAGTTATCACCTGGTGAAGGTGATAACACTAGGCAGACCCACTGTGGCTGGTGGCAAGCAACCTGCAGAGAGATGGATGAAGAAAATGATACTCACTATCTGGGTGAGACAATGGGACAGGAGTGGAAGAGCTAGCAGGAGCCGCTGAGAAAAGAAAAATGAAGGTGAAAAAAAAGAGATAAAAGATCATCAAGGCATACAGATGCTGCATGAAAAAAACGGGAGAGCCAACGCTGGGACGTCAGTACAAGAAGCTGCAGTGAGTTAAAATGGGCAAGAAGAACACGGTGCTCGAGAACAGGTGGCTGGAGGACCAGCAGAGAGCAGGGCCATAGACCTGTGTGCCTGCCACGCCTGCAGCTCAGGTAAGGGACTGGGCCAGGAACAGCTTCAGAGGCCTGCGACCCTGCTGAAAACAAACGGCCGACTCAGCAGGGGCAGCTGTCCCCAGGGGAGTGGAGAGACAGGAGGAAAGGGAAAAGAGAAGGCCGGCTTTCTATTTTAGGTGTCTCTATGTGTGTTTGTATATAGATATATATTTATGCTGACATATATAATTGTAGCAAAACTTCTATGTCTCTCCCTAATTTCAATGTCTGAATAAAGTGAAAATGACGATCCTACTTATTAATGTTTACTACCGATCGAGGTTCATGATTGTTTGGCATCTGGATGAGAAAAACCTCTGCTGCCCTCCAAAAAAAATCCCTACAGAATGTGATTCTCTGGATGCTGCTTTGTGTATGGAGAGCAATGCAAATAATACTGTTATTCTTGCTAAAGAAGTAACTCTAACCAATGTTAGCATGGAAAACGGGCAGAGATGGTGCATCCAAAACATTTGGACAGCTCTTCAGTTTTCCACTGGCAAATCTCCCCACCCAGATCACAAAACAAAGTCCCTCTGAGAGCTGGATGAAAATTAGGAAAAACGTCACCGTGTCCTCAACATTGCCTTGGTCTTCCTTTCACCTTCCAGATGTGGGGACCTCATTAAACCATGCAAGTACAATGTCACTGGGGTCAGAGCAAGGTAGGCTACTAACTCATCATGATTTGATGGTCTGGTTAATTCAGGTAAAAGTGTATCTCTTTCTCTTTTATTTTTTTTGGCTTGAGTTGTTTGCATAACTGTCTATATTATTGTGGCAAAGGGACTGAGTTGTATGTGCTTTAATCACAATATATTACAGTGCATTTAACTTACACTTGCAATGTGTCATCTAGGGGCAAAATGTGAAAACAAAAATCTCAAGATGCCTCTTAAAAAGTAGAGACTCATTCATATATAATCTTTATGCCCTGAAAGAGATCATTTACTTTGCTTCATGGTACAGAAGCAATTAAGAGGTAATATTCAGACAATGAAATTCTGAAGGTGAAGCTCAATCATGAGGAATAGATTCATAACAAATTGTGACATCATCTCTTCAGGGCCTCAGCTGCTCTTATAGGAAAGCACCCCCCCCCCCCGCCAAGGCAATCAGAAGTCGTCAGCTGTTCACCTGAGAGTGTCTTAACAGCGTGAAGACATTGGTCCTAAAAATACATGTGACAGAGGTGCTTTCCTAGGTTGGAGTTCCATCTGTTTGTTTAAAGCCATAGCTTCCTCATAACCTTTACACACACATTTATGAACTGCACACAAGAACCTACAAACAGGTGAGCCAAGCTTTCTAATCCAGCAGCTCAGAAAGCAGGAGTCCTTGAGGTATTTGTGCTCTCTGGCTAGTTCCATCTGCTCATCCCTGCTTTGACATATTCATGCCTCTGAATGTGGAGAAGTCTATTATGGAACCGAGAAAGCAACCCCAGTATTGAGACATCTCAACGAACTTCAAGTGATGAGGTAATGTGAAATGCACTGGCCCTCGCCTAGCTCTCCCATCCAGGGCTGGCAGCGATGGCTCTCTGTCCAGTGTTCTAGCTCCGTTTATCCTGTACCTTCTCTCCCTTGGGGTGAGGGTGCACCCAGCACCCAACTCTGGGGCTGTGTGTAGTTCTCCTTGTCTAAAAGAAGTTTGCCTTTTAGTTTTTAAACTGTAATTTTATTAAATGATTGAGAAAACTAACTTCATGCCACTAGCAATGCCTGCTACTGCATTACTCATGATCTACTTGGAATGGAGAGCTGACCCCACCATTTCCTACAGGGCCTCCTGGGATCATAGTTAATTACCTATTTTCATATATCAGACAACAAACAACAAGGTTTGGAGGTCTCCTTTAAAAAAAATTAAACACTGCCTTTCAAAGCAGCATCTGCTATGGGAATTCTCACCTTTACAAGGGCTGAGCTGGCAATGAATGAAAACCACTTACAGTCTTTGAAGTTCAAGGCCAGTGACTCCAATTCAGTTCTCAGAACCTAGTTACTGGTGAGAAACTCAAAGGGGCCTCCCCACAGCCTCCCTCTCAGCAAGGTAACTAAGCCCACATGGAGTACTGATAACCCACATCTAGAAGAGCAGGAACCGAAGATCAGGCTAAGGACGGTGTCAGGACCCGGACTGTGTTACACCCAGAGTGGTGCCTGCCTTCTGCAAGCAGCTGCCAGCCCAGAGCAGACAGCTGTCAGTCCCACCTCACAGCTACACCCCTTCCTGTCTCCTGCCAGAACTGGTTCATTCAGAGCCACCTCTGCTGAGATAGTTAATTTAACACTTGCTGAAGATCTCAGAACGCCTACACCGAGCTACTTAGTTTCTGCTGTTGCTGCAAAATTTCTGAATTCATTTTTAAAAGATAAGCTTCCCTGAGTGTCTTTCAGGAACGAGGAGCTTTTTATGGAAAGAGTGTTCAGCTCTCTGAATACCTTTCTTCTAAGTCTCTTTGGGTACCACTTCCCCCCACTATTCTGAGCACAGCCTAGGAAGGGGCCAGGCCACAGGGACTGACACGCGGG